ATGCGGTTGTCGGTTTCACATCAGCCTTTTATGCTTATTGCAGGTTAATTTTTGGGATATCATTTTCGTCAAATCGAAATTACAGCGCAAGAATACAATTACAAGAATACCGAGAAGCTTGTCAACTGAGGTTTCAGTCAGTTTCTAATTGAAAAGCAGTTCCTTTATATTACATTAGAGAATAATGATAATGATGATGATGATGACAATGATGCTGATTTGATGATAATAATAAAAAAAATCGCATAATCTTTGTTGGTGGTACAATAATAAGAAATTATATGGATGAGGTTTTTTGTGATATCTGAAATAATTAAGGTCGAGGAAATTAACACGTTAACGAATCCTTGATTATTCTGTATATCACAAAAACCGAATCTAATAACTGTTTTATTATACTAATTGATTAACAAAGATAATGATCAAACATCCGTCCAACGGAATAAAGCTAATTTGTAGGTTGCGCTGATTTGAAAAAATAAATTGCAGGCTCTTAGCCAATGAGAAGATTGATAGCACAATGCATGCCTTGGTAACCGTATCTTTATTATTTCTAATGCGCATATGAACATAATTGTATGGTATATGCGCATTGTAATTTTATATCTATTGCTATTATTATGATTTATTTACCCAAAAAAAAAATCAATAGGTATTCCATGGCAACGATGTTATAGATCATACACAGTAGACATTTGTATTATGAGTCGAATGGGTTAACGTAAACAATGGTTTATTAATCTGATATACGTAACAAGCAAATGAAAATAAAACATTTTAAAAATCGTTAAATTCACAGGGAAGGAGGTCCGAGACCATAAAGTTGGTGATTTGTGGAAGCGGAGTTGGAGCACAAGTGTTTTCTGGTATTGCATTTTCTCAAAAAGACACTGAAGTTCGAGTTCTTAGTTTGAATAAAGATGACACAAAGCGCTGGAAAACTGCACTGCAGCAAAAGCAACTGGAGGTTATATTTCGCTGTAAAGGGAAGGAAACCTTTCGTATTGTATCCAAACCAGCTCTAGTGACAAAGAAAACAGAAGACGTAATGGGAGATGCTGAGATGGTGGTATTTATGATGCAGCCTTCCTGTCTTAAATATTATTTAGAGGCTTTAGCAACTCACGTTAAACCTGGCACCATTATAGTTGGCTTACCGGGGAACAGTGAGTTTCACTTTCAAGTTCGTCACGCGCTCGGGAGGAAAGCGCAGCAATGCACCACCATGAATTTTGAGTCATTACCTTGGACGTGTCGTACTACTGAATTTGGAGTTAAATGTGAGGTGACTCGTATCATCGACACACTGCCGGGGAATATCAAGGTAGGCCTAATGTCGCTTAACGAGAACTGACTATTACCTCTTAAACTCATTAATTATTCATGAAGACGAAACAAAGGAAATCACTACCGTAACAGTGGTTTGGATATCGGATCTTAAGTACAATAAAATTTTGAGAACTTTAGCTTTGAATTTCTTCATGAATAATTAATTGTTTGAGAAGGTATATCAAACACTCCACTCAGTGTTCCATCCGATATCCAGACACCTCGAATTCGGGCTTAAAAAATGAGTGGAGGACAATTTGGTCTGAAATCATACGCGTGACTTTAAAAGTGGACGAGCGAAGAAATCACAAGAGTATGATTTCAGACCAAAATTGCACGTCGCGAAACTCAATTACCACTTTATTACAGCCATTTTGAAATCGCAGAATTCAGTCAGTACCAATATTTGTTTGACCAAATAGCCGGTTTGTTGAAAGCTTAACAAAAAGGCTTTTACATCTCATTATGTACCCGAAGCAGAAGTGGTGCAATATCGAGCAAAAATGGTGCGATTTAAAACAGAAATGAGGTGCTTTAGAACATGAGTGGCGCGATTTAGAAAAGAGGTGATTTAGACCAAAAAATAGTGTGATTCGTGAACAAATCACATTGCTGAGAGCCAATCAAATTGCGAAAATCACCAGTGATTTCAAAAGGGATATATTTGGACTATCCTTTCGGACTATTTGAACTATCTGTTTTAATACGTTCTTTTTTTCATGTGGAGTCACTATAAACTAGCTGGAATTAAGAGAAGCTGACCACTTTCACTATTTACAAAGCTTAGCCCTTGACTCATTCTATACTTTTTTCACTTAAAAATAATCCAAATTCTCAGTGAATTATCACATTTGAAGTATATCGTTTGAGTAAGGCGTTTTAAAAAAAAACTGCATGATTGTCCCAGCTTCATTCACAAGCGATTGTTGTTTTAATGCAGACAAAGCCAAGAGAGAATTCCGCCTGTGCACGTTTTTCAGGCATTCTAGCGAGTAACGTACCGTTACTAAAGGTCCTAAGTGTAATAACTTTTGGCCCTAAATGTAATAAAGGTCCTAAGTGTAATAACTTTTGACCCTAAATGTAATAAAAGTCCTAAGTATAATTCTTTCAGCTCTTTATATACTTAGGGTCATAAGAAGATTTCATAGCGTTTGCTTTTAGCCTTATTACAGGTTAACTGAGCGCCAGAATGTGTCTAGGGAATATCAAACACTAAATACCCCAGACAGATCCCCTATATAGCCATTTGAGAAACAACTTATTATTCAGCTATTGATATCATTATCACTGTTATTTTTATTATCATTATTAACTGAAAAGAGTGTTTAATCGAAGTGAATTGTAAATAGTCCTTTGACCGAATAGTAATTAATTGTAAATAGGTTTTAATAGTTAGCATTGTTATCAATAATACTTCTTTAACGACAACTTGAAAACAGAGGTCCATGATATGAAGCAAATTTTTTTAAGGACTCTTTAATGTCAAAAAAGGACCGAAGTATCTTAAAACTTATGTAACAAAACAAAAAACCTCGTTTATTATAGCAAATTTTCTCAAGAAACTGTAACTTCATCCACTGGATTGAACTAAAAAATCTGTTTCATAGGCAAAGGCAGCCTGTAGTGTAACTATAAAGATACACTGCCCTTAATATCTTGCTGTTTATATATAACTTCGTGTTCACAGCATTCTGTATGGACCGACCGACATACTCTTTTGGAAAATGATAAATAAAAAACATTTCTTTTTTTGGCGCAACATTAAAAAACCCCATAGGCAAAAGTATTTAATTTACTACGATTGTTTCTAATGAACATTAATACTTCCTTCAATTACTAAATTACTACTGTGTTTTGAAAATTTTTGTGTAGTTCCATTTGTTTATAACTCGCGTTTCACGATGTAGGGATGTAGCAGGAAACACGATCGAGACGTAGTTAATTTATAAGTGTTTCTCCTACTTCTTGAGCGCTCTAGCCGCTTTCTAAGTTAATGAATATCTATGAAGACTACAATAGGGAGAAGAAAGTGAATCGCCAGCTGGCTATAACACTAATATATCGCATCAGACCGTCGCATGTTTCAGTCAGGGACCTTATCAAGTTTGGGGCTGTTATACTACATACATGTATACTGTTAAGACTTCCGTTATATTTAGGGCTAAAACCTATTACACATATAATTAGACCCTTTATTACATTTAGGGCCCAAAGTTATTACATTTAGGGCCAAAAATTATTACACTTAGGACCTTTATTACATTTAGGGTCATTTATTACATTTGAGGCCTCAACACAGTTAGATATTTGCAATAGCAACAACCGTCTACTTATAGTCTTTCTCGTCAAATATGACAAACATGAGCACTAAAATATTCTTACATGTTAAATGAATAAAAATGACTAAAAATAAATCAGAATTAAATGTTCGAGGGCTTAAACAAATGAGTTTAGCTCAAACCAGGATCATTAAAAACATTTTTTTAAATGACTCACAACATCAGTTCAGTTACTGCAGTGTATGATGCTAATTTAAGGAGGCATAAAGGAAAAAATAAACAAAACAAATATCAACGAAGCACAGCTTTGAGCGGTAACTTGAAGACCGTGACCGAAGACACTTTCAATTTCATTCATGGTGGACTCGGCATTAAACCTGGGCTGTAAGTAGAGACTGATATACTCTAATGGAGCTATGTCATGATATTTGCTCTCTTTTTGAAAAAGGCTAAAGCGTGTCTTCGCATCAATTGAAATCGAAAAATAAAGGTACACTTTTGTTATTTAATTGTTTCCTGCCGTCTGTTGCTACTGATGACAAGGATGGGTAGGGATTGAAACTTGAAAGGGCTGGGCCAAATCTTTCAAGTTTTTAATGCTGTGCCTGCAAAACTCACCAAAAATGGTTTTTGCTCTCTGATTGAAATTAAATTGTTTGAGATCTTCTTCATAACTATTCAATAGCATTTTGTTATAAAAGTACAGAGTACAAATAAAACCATAGCAGAGAGGTGTTCATTCTTTGAGGTTCAAAATGTGCATGATATATATGCATTTTTTATGTTTTACCAGAGAGGAGACGTCACTCCAAAGAAGGACCCAGTTTCCACCCTGCAGTATCTTCTGGGACCCCTCCCTAAACTGGCCGTACAGTTCATCGGCTAAGGCCGTTTATGCAACCCAAACAGTATTATTTGTGAACTTGACATAAAGTGATTTAAAATCTAAAGAAAAATAATACCAGGAGTATATACACACATAGCTCAAGCTTTACGTTTGTAGTTAAAATAATAACAAAGGACAATAAAATTTAGCCCCGCAGTAAATTCTTAACTTTTGATCGCATCGTAACATGAGTTAAAATTTGCCCAAATATTTCGATCGCAGCTGTAGTGACTTTCTTTAGTGGGAAGCTTGCAATGATTAAAAGGAGGCGACACGTGGCATGACTTTTTGAGGTGAGTTAACAAGTTAAAGTGGCCTCAACGACTTACAACGTATCGTCACCAACTTCGTATTGCGATTAAGATTTAGACGTGCAATGAATTTCGTCCAACAGATAAGTTTTCGTAAAATGAAGATAAAGTTTGATTAGCCAATGAAAAAGCAGTCTTATTTAAACATGCTTTTTATTCCCATATTACATCTACGTCCCATAAAAGCAGTAATGGTTGTTTATTAAAAGACGTCGAAGGTTTGTTCCTTCTGCGTTCTATTCTTTATCCTTCCTCGCATAAAAAGTTCTTGCGGCAGCGGCTGAGAAGAGACCTGCAGCACCTTTGATGCTAATAGACCATTTTACAGTTGTGGACTTAGTACCCTAGCCTTCGAGTGCATGTGAGGCTGACGGTGACCTTGTTTTGATACAAACGTCATTTGCTTTGTTATGGAAATTGTCCTAAAAAAATTCTACTTAGCATAAAAATGACTTAATTTACATGATAAAGCACGAAGGTTTGTGTCAAGACAAAGTCACCGTCAGCCTCGCTTCAATCAATAACTATAAAAAGGCCTATTCCAGCGGCCCCTGCGCTTTGGCCCAGTGCAAACGCACTACCTGAAACCACAAGCAGACTGTGTTGCCCGCGGCAACTCCTGCTGCGGTGAACCCTTTTGCTGTCAAAGTAGCAGGGACGGGTACTATGGTAAGACCACCGACTACTCCGGCCAAACAAACATCAGTCAAGCACCACCCTGATTTAAAGAATTTCTATTAATAACTTTCTAAAAAAGTACACGTGAAGCCAACAATACTGGATAACTGCTAACTTTGCTGATGAACAGTTTGTTATCAGCAAAGTGACGTGGGGGCAGTGATGATGAGTAAGCTTCAACATTGCTTTAATGCGTTGCTTTCAACTACCTTTTATGATTTTCATTTTTTATTTTAGCTGAAATTTTGAAAAGAAAAAAGGTTGAAGCTTTTAGCCTTTGAGTTTGAAAAACTAAAAATCATGTTGAAAAATGTTGAAAAGATGTTCAATTAATGCAAACTAAGCCTTTGAGTGAATAAAACTCATTTCATCGATTAGTCGCTTTTAATTTGTCATAACTTTTTGAGAAAAATCTCAGTACTTATAAAATAAACAAATAGCTTCATGGTTGGTTCGCATGTACAATTTTTATTTACTTGTTGTGAAAAATCACAAACTCACTCGTTCGGTGCGTTCACTCGTTCGTTTGTGATACTTTAAAACTCGTGAATAAAAATCGTACAAGCAAACCAACCATGAAATAATCTCTATATGCCTGAGTCCTTAGCCAAAACAAAACAGTTTATAACATGTATTAGTATTTACCAAATCAGTGAATAGCAACTTTCGCGCGTTTTGATTGGCTCCCGTAACTCGGAATATCCTTGGCTATTTACTGTTTTCCGACCGGAGTTATGATGGATTCTCGTTTCGAGACACTTTCGGAAGACGAAATTTGTGCCATAAATGAAGCAATCGTACAAACAAATACCAAGAAAGCGAGGAACTTTGGCTTGTCAGTGTTCTCTGGTAGGTAGAAAATTATTTTCATGCTGAATTTGTAACAAAATAGTAAGATGCACATAACAAAAAACCCGAAATGTTTGTAAATTGAAAACGAAGTTCTTACTAAGTGACATTTTTAATTTACAAAAAGTTTCCATTTTTCAGTTTTATCCAACTGATTTGAGTAGTATAGTATATGGGGGTACCGGAACATTTTTCATATTCCGGGAACCATTGACCACCCAGCCACGGCCAAGCCCATGACCACACCCTAATCAATATTTGGTAGTTTGGTCCCCTCTCCGGTACATTTTCAAGCGGTTTATACACAGGGGGTATTAATATAGAGTTCATCAATGTTGCTAATAGTCCATCCATTACCTTGAGACAACCAAACAGCTATACTATTAAGTATCTTCTGCTGTGATAGTTGCAAACTTCACGTAAAATCGTTAGTGTTGAAAATAATCTGCGCCCTGGTATTAAAATATGCAGTCTTGATATATATTTTTATCATCCTCTATCTTAACAAAGGTAACTTTGAGAGTGTTGTCACGGGACTTATCTCCCTGATTTATGAAAAATATTATAACCTAATGGAAGTCCTATATATCTTTCCGATGATTTTTAAAGTGAAACCGATATTTAACCCGATTTAGCCAAATGTATCCTTTACGGAATAAGTCAAACATAATACTAATAAACAACATTTAAAATATAAAGAGGTGAAACGTGAAAAGTGATCTTGAGTGATTGCTGACAAATTTTATCTGATCAAATTGAAATGAATATTGACATATATTGTTGTAGGAAGCTTTTTAGGTTCTGGAACATTTTAATTGTTCATTATGAGTGTGAAATAAGATATAAAACACATTTACTAATGAACTCTTTATTTAGAAGAATAAATATTAAAAAGTGTGCTTTCCTGCATCACGCACAGAATCAGAACATGTACGTCATTCTTTAGTTGGTTACTAACCAAGGGTAACTCCCATCTATACCCCCATGTACCTCTAAATCACTCTTTCTGCATTCCATTACTTTAGGACTGTAACTAAGTTAAGACTTTCTCATTTCGTGTGTTCGTGAGTAAATAAGGTTTTTGAGAATGGGACATCATGTCTCCTGACTTGATGTCCCTTGGAAAGTACTTATCTTTTAATGGACACTTTTAGTAATTTACGAAGGGAACTTGCGTTTTAAGGCTAGTGTTGTTGACAGAGTTTTCCGTTTTTTAGGTATTGATTAATTAAAGGTAGGAAGTTTTGTCCCATCTATTTATCTTGTTTCCACATTTATGAATATGGGAGTTGTCCTTTGTTTACCATTAACGAAGTTTGTGTCTTTGAGTTTTACCTTTAAAAGGTTCAAACAACTTTAAAGTAACTGTGTAAAAGTGTGTTTCTTTTACTGAACTTTACTTAGTTAGTTTTCCTTAGTAGTTATCCTGCTCCAGAACTGAAGAAAAGCTTTTCAAAGAAATTTTAGGTTACGAATTAATCGTATGCTAATTAGAACGTTAATGTATCCTACGCATTATTATTAACGTAAACATATTATGGACATCCAAACAAATAAATAGAGAGCTGTTGAAAAGTAAGCTTTTAGAAGAAGGTGCAAGCAGTTATAGAAAAAGAGTAAGCAAGAGAACTGCCAAGAAAAAGGTTAACTTGAAGAAGGACCTTGCTAAGGAAGTTGAAGAATTGTAAAGTGAAAGAGTAAGTCACTCAGAAATAAAGTATATAACCTAGTACTTATTTGGTTGTGAGAGTCACTGACGCGCCTCTGGAGTACCCCCGTATCACTGGTGGAGAACTCGAAGAGCCGTACCAGCTGTAAATGTCCACTCCAGAAAGCCCCGTCCAGGAGCCGAGAAAAGAGGACTATACAGCCATCGATTCCGGTGAAGCAGAAAGCGACTCTCCACCTCCGTTAGAGGATATCCACAGCGAGGACGAGGACGCCCCTGATCAGCCTATTTTCATTGCTGCGGGAGACGAGGATCTACATCTGTGGGTAGAGGTAAAACGAGAGGTTGACCCTAATCTTACTACAGCAGATTTTATTGAGTTTCTTGACTTTTGGGATGAACTTGATTTCTTTGATGCCGAAGACGAACCGGATGACCCAGGAGATTTAAATTCTGTTGACTTTCTAAATTATAAAGCTTAAATTTATTTTACTTCATATCTTACTCATGAATTTACGTTTACTGTAGTTTTAATTCTTATATACCTATGCTACTTTAGTTGTCGTTTTTGGTAACGCGCAGTGCATGTCGACGCGCCGCCCAGGTATCGTTACTCGTAGCCAATCTGGTTTTTGTCACGGGGATTGCAAGTCCCCACTTATCGAAGAGCTTAGTACTTCTTAACGTCCGTCGAGTGATTCCGAAATAAGCGATATGAGTGACACGAAAAGTGGCCCTGATTTGCGAGAAGTTTTGCGCGTGATGGATAAATTATTCAGCCAACAAAAAGAATATTTACATGCTAAACTTGACGAAGCAACTGTTCGGAAACCGAAATCCGTGAAATTGGAATTTTTCTCTGGTTTAGAATCCCAGGATATTGATCGTTGGCTGCAGAAATTTCAGAATCGCGTTGGGGCTGGTGGCCATAGGCATGATTCGGCCTCTATGGCCGCAGATTTGGCGAGTCACTTATCGGATCCTGCCGAAACGTTTTATTTTTCCTTAGCTCCTGAGACTCGGAGAGATTTTGATGAACTTACGGCGGAATTGAAAAATAGATTTTCTTCTGAAGATGTTAAGTGGCGTTTAAGGCAGTCTTTGAGTGCGCGTAAGCAAGGCGCAAAAGAATCCCTTGATTCATATATCGAGTTTATTAACAGTACGTGCCAAAAATTGGGCGTTTCCAAAGAAGACCAGTTGCACTTTTTTGTCAATGGGTTGCGCGGTGAAATTAAGCGCGAGGTTTTGATGCACAAACCTCTTGATTATCAATCCGCAGAAAATTTGGCCCGTTTGAAAGTTTCTGTTGATCGCACGATCGCTGAAAACCGCACTGAATCAATAAAGGATACAGAAAGGGAAATCCTTTATAAATTGCTGGACAAACTGACGCCTCAGCCTGCTGTACCAGCTGGCTCTAGCGCAGATAAAAAAGTGGCGGCTTTTGATGTTTCTGACAGATCTGTCAGCGATCTGTCAAGTGAAATGCAAAAGTTGAGAGCGGATCTACGTCAGGAGTTCCGTGATGAAATCCGATCTTTGAGGAACAGCTTTGCTTTTCCCCAGGGATCCCAATTTTCTCGTTCTTACAACCAGCCCCCTCGACGTGAATTTGGGCCTCGATCGCAGCCTCCGCGCAGGGATTTTAACCCTAGGTCCCAACCTCCTTCCGTGGATAATAGGCCCCGCAGCTTAGGCCCTAGACAACAACAATTCCCCACTAGGGATGGTAGGACTAGGGATGGGAGGCCTACCTGCTATCGATGTGGCACTGTGGGACACTTGGCTGCTAACTGTCAGGTTCGCCTGACCCCTAGGGCCCCGGGACAACCCTCCCCAACCTCCCCTCACTCAAGAATAGCTATGCTCACCCCTGTGCCTTCTCCAGAAGTGCCTATCATTTCAGGGCACACTGCAGAGTTTTTTATGCCTGATAGTACGACAACAGATGATGCCTTTCAGCAAGAAGACACTATTGACATTAGGGAATATG